TTTTTTTGGCAGATGTGGATTTGAAGCCACTTAGAATGTTCCCAGGGGGTGTACTGACCAAGGTCTAATGGCAAAGCTGTTTCCCTTCATTCTTCTATTAGTTGGAGAAGCTCTCTGAACCACTTTTTGCTTAACTCACAAAATCCACCACCTTCACATACAGCAGCCTGGTGAAGAAGGCTTCTTCCTGCCCCAGTCTCTAGCTCAACCTAATGCCTTTATAACCATGAGTTTTATGCTTACCACGGGGTGGGGGTAGGGGGGTCAGCTGTATTTGTTCCAAACTCATTCATGGCAGTTATGCTAACAGTATACAGATGACATAATTAAATAGTATGTAAGTTAATGGAATATGAATGACTGGAAAGAACAGTTCCAGCTAACTGCTTACAGAGCAAGAAAGTCATTTAAAAACTACTACTAGTGAATAGCTATATAGGAATGAGGCCACTGCATGTTTGGAGAAAATTTTAAAATCTGGATAAAGTTTGGTATTTAGACAATCTCTTACAGTAGTTCTTGCTCTACTACTTAAGAAAAAAAGCCAAAATTCAGTTCTGTAAGAACTCTGATGGAAAACTCTAGCTGCTAAGCAATACTCAAGGAATGACTTGTTAGCAAATGATTTATGTTTTGAGTTTGAAACAAATGTTTAAAGAAGCCATACCAGTTTTCACATTCAACATATCAACTACCTACTTGTCCCAATCATTGTGAGTGAAAAGGGATTTTACATGTTCGTAGAAAAGGTTTTGTTTTCTATTTCCATTTCTGGGTATCTATGGCTGGAATCCAGTACAACCTTCCTGAACTGAGGTTTTCAGAACCTCTTGAGAGCAATATGACCAAAAGTGAAGTGTCCACCTCGAGTTCACAAAGTGACTGCAAGCTCATTTCCCACTGGCAGTATGGAAATAATTCTAACCTGTGGTTAAATCCCTTTAGATTTTACAACCAAAAGTCTACTTCAATTACAAGGTCCATGATGGGGAAGAACATATAAGAAAAAAATGCCAGCAGCAATACAAAGAACACAGACAAGAATGCATATCCTAGTAGGCATGCATTTCCATTTCTCATTTTAATAACAATACAAATAAGAGTAGTGCCACATTAAGTCACACAAAGAAGGGAGAAGGAAACACCATTTATGGGTGTTGAGCTGGAAGAGGCAGAAATTGCATTTTCCCATAAGGTATAAAGGTTAAAGGCCTGAGTTCTGGTCCTCTGCTTCAGATTGCTATTATTATCCCCCCCCCCCCCCCCCCGGTCTTCTTGCTTCCGCCCTTGCTCTTGGGCAATCTAAAATTGATATGGCAACCCGACAGATATTCCTTTAAAATGCTAGTAAGACTTTGTTATTCCTCTAAAAATACCTTCCCATGGCTCCCCATCTCATTCAGAAAAGTGAAGTCCTTAAAATGACTTATAAGCCCTTGTTAAACCTCCCCCTCCTCCAACATCTCTCTGACCTCACCTCTGATTATTCTTATACTTCACCACTCCCAGAATACTGCTTCCTTGTTCTGCATACACACCAGGGAAATCCATTCTCCAGAACCTTTGCACTTGTTATCCTTGATGCTTAAAAGGTTCTTGTTCAAACAGTCACACTGATCACTCCCTAGCTCTCTCAGCTCTGCTCAAATGTCACTTTCTCACTTGAGGACTTTGCTATTTTAAAACTTCAACTTCACCTGCCAACTCCTTTGTACTTACTGGCTAACATACAATAAAATTTTGCTTATTACTCATATTCATTATCTGTCTTTTTCACTAGAGTATAAGATTTATAAACGTAGGGACTACGTCTTATTTACTCCTAAATTTTTGGTACCCAGAATAATTCCTTTACATAGTAGATGCTCAATAAGTACTTGAAGAATTATCAAAGGCACTGATCCCCCTCTGGTCTTTGCAAATACAACCAAGATCAGGAGGAATTTCTTCCAGGGCATTCTAGCCTTGTAGGTGCAGACTTTTCCAGGTACTTTCTTGTAATAGAATCACTCCCTTCAGGGTAAACCCCTCAAGGCCAGGGCTGAGCCTTTCCCCCTTCCATCTTCTAACACCTTCACTGAGTAATTGAGGAAAGGCTTTGGTACACTGACCTGTGTGCAATGGGTGCAAGAGGAAGGAGTGGCCACAATTTTATTAATCTACAGAGACTGACCAAAGCTCAAAAAGTTGTAAATATTTTCTCATTCAAATCTAAAGGAAATAGAAATATTACACCAGTCATAACAGGAATGTAGGCTTTGTCTACTCCAGCTAGAATCTAATGCCAGGACCTAAGGAAATAGAAATAT